TTAAGAAAAGTAAACTGTTAAAGTTATGGCCTTCCTATATATGTTCCGAAAGCACATCCAAGGGAGTCACGTCTGCTTTCGATATGGAAGAATCAGAAAAGAAGGTTCCACGTTTTGAACACAAACCAAAGGAGAAACGTATGAGGCAAAAGAAAAATATGGAAACTTCTGCGCATGAAGAAATTACAAATCCTGGAAGAAAATGTCCTTCGTGCTCGAAATTCTTTTTGCGTCCAAAATCATTGGAGCGACATATCGGTTGCAAGACCTGCATCAGAAGATCAGGAGTCCCTCGTGCAAAGCATGCTAAGGTGACAGCAACACTCAAATCACAGGCAGCCAGAATTACATCCACTACATGCACCTTGGGATTAGAAGTAAAGAAACAGAATATTCGAAAGAAAGAAAAGTTGATATTAGATAATTGGGAAAACGAAGTAAAAGGAAGTGCTAGAAAGACAGCAAACCTGAAGCGAAAAAGGGCAAAGTTTACTGAAGAGCAGAAAGGAGTAATGGAAAAATGTTTCGACGAAGGAGAATATGACAAAAGAAAGCGTTACACAACTTCATCCTGTCAGAAGTTAATGTTGGACAAGTTGGGACAGACGTTGGTACTAACAGAGAAACAAATCGCTAGTTACTGGAGCAATTACAGAAAAAGCAAGAGTGCACAGGAAAAGGAGAATAAGAAACCGAAACTAAAATAAGAACGATTCCGAAAGATTAGAAAATTTTATTAACATCGATATTTTGAAACAAACTGAAATAACTGTATTCTGGAAACTTTGTAGCGTGAGCAATGGATTCCAAATATCAATAACTTATCTCACAGACAGTGAACACTACACAACACTTTCAAAATTTTGATATTTAGTTGTGATATTTTGATATTTATTTAATATAGACAACACAATTGTGAAATGCATTACAGGTCTGCAAAACAGTTCTAAATAAAATTTTGGTAACTAAACAGGCATGTCACTATGAGGTCAGAATGCCATATTACAGTAATCAAATTCAAAATTCACAATCTTCAACCTAAATTTTCTTTTCGGCGTACCACTCCAAATCTCTCTATTTTGGTATTTTTTCCAAGATAATATACACAACACAATTGTGAAATGCATTACAGGTCTGCAAAACAGTTCTAAATAAAATTTTGGTAACTAAACAGGCATGACACTATGAGGTCAGAATACCATATTACAGTAATCAAATTCAAAATTCACAATCTTCAACCTAAATTTTCTTTTCGGCGTACCACTCCAAATCTCTCTATTTTGGTATTTTTTCCAAGATAATATACACAACACAATTGTGAAATGCATTACAGGTCTGCAAAACAGTTCTAAATAAAATTTTGGTAACTAAACAGGCATGTCACTATGAGGTCAGAATGCCATATTACAGTAATCAAATTCAAAATTCACAATCTTCAACCTAAATTTTCTTTTCGGCGTACCACTCCAAATCTCTCTATTTTGGTATTTTTTCCAAGATAATATACACAACACAATTGTGAAATGCATTACAGGTCTGCAAAACAGTTCTAAATAAAATTTTGGTAACTAAACAGGCATGACACTATGAGGTCAGAATGCCATATTACAGCAATCAAATTCAAAATTCACAATCTTCAACCTAAATTTTCTTTTCGGCGTACCACTCCAAATCTCTCTATTCTGGTATTTTTTCCAAGATAATATAGACAACACAATTGTGAAATGCATTGCAGGTCTGCAAAACAGTTCTAAAATAATATTTTTTGATAACTTCAATTTTTCTTTTAAAAAAAATACATCACTCAGATACATAAACTCAACAATTCTGATTCAATTTTTCAAAACAATTTTCAACCTGTTTTCTTTTTGGTATATCATTCCAAAATTATCTCTATAATTTGGTATTGTTTTATACAACTTCATACAGACAAATTAACTGCAAAAATAATACAAAAACCACAATTTCCCTTCTATAAACTGCATGCATTGAAAGCAAATTTTCCTGTTTGGCGAATTGTATTCAAAAAATATATTCCAACGAATGCTCAAAAGTAATTTTTAATCTAGAATTAGTAAAAAAACAATTAAGATATATAGCACATGTATACAACATACCTTTTGCTTTGTATTATCCACCGATCCCCTAGCCAAGAACAGTCTGCACAGAGTAGACAGACCTTGTCACCTTAGTAGTTCGATTCTTCGAAATATATGTGAAAACTCTCTTAAAAATTCTCTCCCCGGCACCTTCCTGTTAGCAATTCTCCAGCCATATATATATATATACTCCGTTTAAAATGATCTTGTGAAGAGAAAAATATTCTGCAAGGCTTCCTTCGAACCTTATAGAGAACAGCAACAGAACGAAATTTCATTGAAGTAAACAGCCGGCAAATCGGCAATTAACAAGCTGCCATCTTTAATTAAATTGCATAATGAGATTGCATGCGATGACGTCATACGTTTTGACCGCATGATACGCGACATAGAAAAAATTCTCCTCTTAAAACGATTTCGTTGGTAGGGATGCAACTACCTGAAAAAATGTAAGGAGAATTTCGACGTTTCGAGCGAAGGCCCTTCGTTTACAGTTACTAGCGGGGGTCCAACTAACACTTACCAACTCTCATGCAACTCTTGTTTACGTTTGACTGGAGCATCAGAGTTGGGCAATCTTTCATGCAAACTCTTGCTCATCAACTCTTGCTTAACAAGAACATATCTTGAGTATACGGAAAATGGTTGTCATTATATTGTCTCAATATAATCACTGCCGTCTCACAGAAAACGTTCAGAGTAATAGTGTATACAGTATAATAACATGCAAAAAATTAAATAGGATTTAAATCCCGAACCTATTTGATCAGTCAATAAACTGGAACAGTACATGCAGATATGTTTCCAATACAGCTGTATCTAACCAGTCCTTTTATTTTCTAGATGCGATGACTTTCAATGGCAACAGTTACGTCCGCTACAGTCTTCGTGATGAAAAGACAAAGATTTCGTCATTTTCCGTCTCTGTGCGAACAACTAAACCTTCTGGTACAATATTCTCTGTAAAAGGATCTCACGATTATTTTATTCTTGAGGTACAATTCAATATATTACATAATGTAGTCTCATCGAAGCTGCTCTTTGTGATGTACCTTCGCTTGTGATTTGTATATGTATCTTACTAGCATGCAGTTTATATATTGTAATGCCATGTTTCACAAGGCAATTTTACACCTGAGACAATTTTACCTGTTCAAGTATCGTCATTTTTTCGGACTATGTCATCAACAATAATCTACCCAAGTTCGAAGTTTTTGGATTCATTACGTTATACAAGATTAATATTACCAAACCACTTCTAGTTGAACTATCGAACCACCAGGGATTGGAGTTGAGTTTTATCCAATTTATGTGAACGAGGACTTGAATGTCTTGAAGTACTACCACTTCTAGTCGTGACGAAAAATGGAACGCGCTTTTAAGTAATTAATTGGTCTTGATGTTATGTGGTCTAACACATGTCTATATATGTTTGTTTTCAGATTGTTAACGGAAAAATTCGTGCTCGATTTGATTACGGCAGTGGTGAAGGAGTTGGAATTATTGACCAAGTCAAAGTAAATGATGGCAAATGGCATGACGTTGAAATGAAACGAAAACAGAGAAATGTTCGTCTTACTTTGGATTCTGGCAAATATATGACGGAATCTGTTGCGTCTGGATCAATGAGTTTCTTGAACGTTCATATGAATAATATCATTGTTGGTGGAGAGTTACCCAAGAGATCGATAAGAAGTGCAACCAGTAAGTATGATATTATTGTTTGGAAGATCATATCCGGGGATTAGAACCTTTCTGCGGGTAAACCGATCGGGTCTTATTGACGCATGCGCGTTGAACCGTCATGAGAGATTACGTTGTTAGTTTATTTTCGAAGAGGGATTTTGGAGATCAAATTTCGTTAAAATTCGTTGTATTTTCAAAAGTATAACCTCCACTCTTACATGTTTGTAAAACCGTTGCTTCATTATTTGTTTGTAAAATCGTTACTTATGTAAATGTTTTTCTTTATCAGCTGTCTCCAATGGATACTTTGGCTGTATGGAAAGTCCTCGACTGAATGGTAATGATCTGCCATTGTCGGGCAGTAACTTGGCAGCCACAGCTTTAGCAAAAGGAGTAACAAACAACTGTTCTATCGACATTTGTCATCCTTCATTTTGTCAGAATGATGGTGTATGCAGAATGAAAGATGAAGAACCTACATGTGAATGTGAACCTGGGTTTAAGTCAAATGATTGCAGTAAAGATATAAATGAATGTAAATTATTCCCATGTAAGAACAATGGAAAATGTATAAACACATTTGGATCGTTCCGATGTGAATGCAATGATAGCAACTTGGACGGTGTGTTATGTGAGACTCATGTTGCTGCAGTAACCCGTACAGGACAATTTGGTACGAGGGAATTCATTTTCATCGGAGCAACGGTGTTTGTATTAATCATCATTGCAGTGATTATTGTCTTAGTATGTCGATGTTGTCATAAACGACGGAGGAGAGCGAAAGCTGCGAGACAAGATCATGAAAGACATGAACTAAAAATGAAAGAAACTGACGAAGAAATGCCTCCGTACCCACCCCCACCTCCCCCACGTCGAGGTGACGTTGACGACCCTCCGACACGTTTGGGAAGTCGAGCTCCATCATGGGATTACGCAGATCTTCCTGAAATGGGACCTAACAGGCTAAAGAAGTTCTCAGACTCTGACGAGTATCTGAATGACTCCGGGGAGTATTCAGGAACAAACGGTGTTCCTCAGGTCCCAAGACGACCCCGACATATTGAAACTGGAGGTGTTCCTGATGTGCCCAAGAAACCCAAACAGTATCGTTGTTCCAGAGCATCATCACAGAGTTCAGTGCGAAGTCAAAGTTATGAAGATGTTTCTGAAATTGGAGTAGAAGGTCTAGAGCTTATCCGACAAGGCACTAAGGACATTGAACTAATTACGAAAGCAGCAGATGTTGTGGATGGTCTGTTGGGAACAAATTGTGCCACACCACCATCTGATGACGATACGCAATCCGAGTGCTCACAACTTGATACTCAAGAACCATTCCATACAGGACATTTGGAGACATATGATGATAATGAAGTCGCATATTTCATTCCTGATAGTGACATGAGAGATTCAGTAAGTAATAGTGATCATGAAGACGAGACATCAGCGATGTTAGAAAAGTTACCAACTGTGACAGACTCTCGAGGAGAAATACTTTATAAAGAGTCACAATTATAGAGATTATGTAGCGAGAATGTTAGATGGATGCCTCCTTTTTTATGCCATATTGTAGCTAAGAGAACATTGGCATGAGCAATCGAACATATATGACAGATGTAGAAAAAGACTTACTCAAAAACCTGACCTGAAAAACTTAGGCCCAGTCATTTTGGCTGAAAGTCTTATTTGCATTCGTCGGGTTTCAAGTTTTCAAGGCGGATTTCAAGTTCCAGTTTTTATTGCCTGTTGGTTTTCCAAATGACTTTTCCTCAAACATGCCTGTGTACATGCCTGTATGTAAAAGGAGGCATTCCGTAATTTATTTGTATATATGAACATTGGTCATTGTGAATATTTATAGCGATGTTGTCCTTGGACTTTTAATCTATTTATAAACGAATATTTTAAAGTTAATATGTAATCGTGGCTTTTGCACGGCTTTCCCAATTATTACTATAATATTTAATGAGACATACATAATGTTTTAATTAGTACTATTTATTGTAGTGGCTGTTTTTGCAGTTAAAATAAAATTGTTTAATCTAATGTTTAATGAAATGGGATATTTTACTTCATAATACGAAGGTAGGATAAACATTTTCACAGTAAGAATATTCTGACATTGCTTGGCTACTATTTTTCAATAATTATATAGCCCAAAATTGACCATGCATGCATTTAAAACAACTACAATTTGAAAAAAACAACTACAATTTGCTCGACAATTTGAAAACTTAAATATATAACCGTTTTTGTGTTAACCAGCCGGCCTGCTCGGAATCCATTGAAAGTTCATTGTAAAATGTTTTTAACTAATTGATTTGATCAAGGGAGCACAGCAGTATTGTTTTCGAGACTTTCGTACCTGTATATGGCTGTAAAATCTCTGAATAGGTAGTCTTTGTCTTCTTTGGTTCGCTAATTTGCATATAAACACTAAAACACTGTTTTTAAATTCGTAAACAAGCCAACAATTTCTTTATATTTTCGTATTTTTACATGTTTTTGTAAATACGCGCGAAACTTAGAATAAGAAATAGAGGGGAGTGAAACTGTGGGCACGTGATCAATATTAACCAATAACATTTCGGGATTTGAGAACCGCTTTCTCCAAGGTTTGTAGCAAAACCAAATGCTTACAATCAGATTAGACTCATTAGAGTCAACTGTAAAAGCCTACCAAAAAGTGATTTGTTCACAATTCGTAAACATTTCAACTCTGATTTCTTTTTAAATGTATTATATCATGCTTCTAATTCGAGAATATTGCCCATGGCATGTTTGAGAGTGGTAATAATATAAATTTTGTCATTATTTATCAAACTGTGAATTGCGTATAACGTATAACGTATTAAACACCGAAATATTCCCGTTTTAGTTTATTGTATGCTGGTTTTATATGGATAATTTCACATTAGAATATTTGAAAATGGCTTTAATGTTATAAAATAACACAAAATATAACAAAATCATGACGAAATGTCTAAAATGTTTAGCCTGTTTAGTATATTAATGTACTGAAATATGATTTAAAAAAGACAAATATATGGCATACTATACGATCAACCACAGTTTGGATTAACTATGGATCAACTCACGTTAAAAACATGTGAACTCAAGCCAAGATTGCATAATTCCATAATTATATCTAGCAGTGGCCTGTGCCTAGCAACGGTTGCTGTGCCTAGCAATTTGCTACAGCGTCTGTCGAAAGATTTTACCGGATGTGCCCACAGTTTCACTCCCCTCTATTTCTTATTCTAAGTTTCGCGCGTATTTACAAAACCGTTACATGCGATACAATGTACAGCGGACGACCATGTAAAAATACGAAAATATAAAGAAATTGTTGGCTTGTTTACGAATTTAAAAACAGTGTTTTAGTGTTTATATGCAAATTAGCGAACCAAAGAAGACAAAGACTACCTATTCAGAGATTTTACAGCCATATACAGGTACGAAAGTCTCGAAAACAATACTGCTGTGCTCCCTTGATTTGATTTCTATTATTGGTATAACTGCCGCCGACACTCCAAAAATATTCAGCGTGAATCTTTTTTCGTGCGACTGCAGTCGTTGACATTGCAGTGACAGTGTTACGGAAAACTATAAAGGCTGCAAAATATCTCCAATTTATGAAAAAAGCACAAAAAAGCACCGTTCAATTTTACTTGAGACATAAAGCCAAGTTAAATGTCTATAGTTTGGTGTGTTCAAATTTATCTCAACCTATCTCAACGAGGAGAAAACACTATTTTAAACACGTCCGCGCTTTAAATTTTGCAAATATTTTCATCGCTCGAGTAAAATTTTTGCCCTGAAATTTTCTTTCAACGAGTGTTCAGTAACAAACAACACAAGCTATTACATGTGATATAACTTATTAAATAATATTTCAATTTTTAATTAACGAAACATAATTACTTAGCAGTTAAATCCTTTGTTTTCTCGTTTGCTTGTTTACATTTTTTTGTTGCCATTTTGTACGCGATTTTCTGATTTTTTTAGAGAAAGCGCGCTCGCGCCAATCCTAATGTGCATCACACATAGCACGGTCATTTATTAGCGTGTTTCCCCGCCCGTGTTTTATAGCGCCCTGGCTCGGCCAATCAAATTTGCGTGGTGTTTCCACAAACAAAACTATTATATGTTTTATCGCCATGCAAACCTACAAAGACCAATTATTTTTTATTAAATTATTCGCACCAAAAATTAACAAAAAATATGAAAATAAAGTATTTACGGAAGTGGGCTAGGGGTTTTCTAGAAACCATAACGCGGGGCATTATTTAAGACCCCTAGATATTACAAGTTGATTAGGGAACAGAGATCAGCCTCAGATGTCGATTCTGGACTCCCCCCCCCCCCTTAGAAACATCACACATAGGAGGGTGTTGATGGGGTATATCGTGAGTCGTGATTCACTCAATTTCGGTTACCGTCAGCCGTGAAAACACTAAAAACTGAAGCATGTGGAAAAAAAATACTGTTTATAGAATATAGTTTCAGAACACTTTTCAAAGATTTACCGTTAAAATACCAGAATATTACCGTTAAAATACCTAAATTTTTACCGTTTACTGATTTTCAGACCCCCCCCCATCTAGACCCTCTCATAGTTCTCAAGAATTTGACCGGGTTTTGACTTTAGAGAGTTTTATCCCAGCCACACACAACACGATGATATAGTCGTTCGAACTTCGACTATGGTTTACAACCTCGTTCCCAGGGCCTTTCCCTTTTTGACATTGCCCATTGGGCATGATAAATCATCGAGTGTTTTCAATGTAAGGAAGCCGTAATAATATAAATGTATAGAACAGATACCGTATTACGAAAGCATAAATTGGTGTTTGTATCATGTTGTTTTCTTTTTTATATTCTGATCGATGATTCCGGCAGATTCCGAAATGTTAAGGCTTTCGAAAAAACTATCGAATTTTTCCATGATGTTTTACAGAGAAACGTCACAGCTGCAACTCGAGGTTTTGAGCCAGTTAGCGGACTTTGAATTAAAATTGAAAGGACAATTAACCTTACATCGGTATATAGATCCCCAAAACGTAGCCGATTATCACCCACTCCCGGCCGACTATAATCATTTTCAAACGTTGGGGAGGGGGGCGTAGAAGTTTGTCAAAATAATAGGCATTGGGGGGTTAGGTTGCATCAAAAAGTTTCAGTTTCATTTGGTAAAATCAAAAGATTTTCTGCCTTCCACTCAAATTTAGGTCCTCTAAGGGTGGTATAAGGGGGGGGACGTAATCACGTTTGACAAACAAACCGGACACGAATTAATGACGGGGAGACAGAATATTTGCCTAAAGTTTAAACTCTTCTTATATTCTATCATTTCTATGTTTGAATTTAGCGGGTTTTGCATGCTAGAGAGTTTCACTAATCGCCTTTCTTTCGCATTTGCGACAATATCCGTGGACGGGTGGTGTGGACTACCTCAGCTGGAGCATATTTGGCTCGAAATTTCAGGACGAAACAAACATTAGTATAAAATCACTGCGTAAAACATAGCAAATTGCTACTATCTGAACATGTAATGCAAAAATATTCAAACCTGGATGGACAAATCCGAGCATCTTTTTATGAGGTAATGCAATAACCAAGGCTAACAAAGGTTAACAACTAAGGAACAGCGTGCGCGGAACCTGGCCGGATGGGTTCCACGCAGAGGGTTTCACGCACTGATCTCAATCATGGCACGCAAATTTGCCTGGAAAAGGGCCTGCGGAGGAGGTAGGTGTCTGAATCAACAAGTGCACTGTCTCGACCTCGTACAACTCTGTGATTTGGGAAAAATAACTGGTCATTTATATTTCCGACGAATTGAACCCACACATGTCTTTATCGTCTTTTAAATAAATAAAACAATTACTGAATTAGGTTTCCCAGATGCGAAGAATTATCATGATTGTCTTCAACGGGGGTTAATTAGGTTTTTCTACGGGCAGCGAAAATTAGGGAGGCAAAGAAAAATATTTTAGTGGTGGTCGATACTGCGAATATCGATTTCGATACGATACCGAATACTTTTTATCGACGATACCGAATACTTTTTATCGACGATACCACTGTTTCGATACTTTCTTTCCATACCGATGATACTGGTCAGTAGACAAAGTACTTCATACACTAGTTATAGAATATGTTCGTACCACAACGCTACGAGAACGTTTGTGATTGACATTGGCGCCGACATTAAATGTTGACGCCATTTCTGCCATTTTCCAGCGAGTCATTGCGTTGTCAACTGTAATTTTGTAAAAATCCCAAGTAAGCTCCCAAAAACGCACAGGTTGTTCCAAGTTGATATCGACAGGCGTGAACAATGTTGTGCGGCCAACTATGAACAAGTTGTCAACCATGTTGTTCCAAGTTGTTACAGTTGAACAATGCTGTAACAACATGTTGACAATACTGTTCATAGTGGGCCGCACAACCTTGTTCACGCCTGTTGATATCAACCTGGAACAAGTTGTCGATTTTCTCAATTTTTACGCGTGTACACGCGTAAAAACGCTCAGGTTGATGCAATACTGATGAAAACAGGATTGAACAATTTAATGTTTTGCTGCCCACATTGTTCATAGCTGTCAACAATATTGAACAATATTGTTACACCCGATTCAGGCTCAACAACATTGTTCAATATTGTTGACAAGTGTGAACAACGTGGGCAGCAAAACATTGTTCAGTCCTGTTGAGTAACGGGCTCGGCGTTTTTTGCCGTGTAGGTGGTTTTCGCGCCAATTTCGGCCTTTCGAGTAAAATAGCCTCGTACGTCATGTTGTAAAAACGAAATCTTGCATCAAATGATCAAATACGAGCGGACAAACCGGCCTAGATTTTTAGGGACCATAGGGACCAAAATTCAATTAACAACTGAACAAAATGTCCTGTTCCAACCCCTGCATCACAAAAAAATTCAATGACCCCCTTCACATGAATTCTAAAAAAATAGTAACCCCCCCCCCCACCACAAGTAAAAAATAAGTAG